CGTGGATTACAGGCGCATGCCCACCGTGCCCGGCTAATTTTTTTTTTTTTTTGAGACGGAGTCTCGCTCTGTCGCCCGGGCTGGAGTGAGTGGCTGGATCTCAGTTCCCTGCAAGCTCCGCCTCCGGGTTTTACACCATTCTCCTGCCTTTAGCCTCCGAGTAGCTGGGACCTACAGGCACCCGCCACCGTCTCCCCGCTAGTTTTTTTTTTTTTTTTTTTGTATTTTTAGTGGAGAAGGGTTTCCCATGTTGGTCCGGCTGGCCCTCAAACTCCTGACCTCATGATCCCACCCCCCTCCAGCCCTCCCAAAAGTGTTGAATTACAGACCATGAGCCACTGTGCCTGGCTTAATGTTTGCTCTTATTAGGTCAATAAGAGATAAACACAACAAAACAAAAAACCATAACTGACCTAACTGAGGGTTTTCTTACATGGGGAAACAAAGGTTTGGAGAAGCTAGAGGCTGAGTTTAGGATCTTGGTAAGTTTCTGGATTTCCCAGTCTAATTGCCAGCCATTTCCCAATCTTCAGTAATTAATATAATCTCTCAACTTCCACTTAATCACCTGCAAAATGGGACTAATCCTGTCTCATTGGATGTTGGGATTGGTGTGTATAAAGGCGGGTCAGAGGCTGGGCACAGTGGTTCATGCCTGTAATTCCAACACTTTGGGAGGCCAAAGCGGGTGGATCGCTTGAGGTCAGGAGTTTGAGACCAGCCTAGCCAACATGGTGAAACCCCGTCTGTACTAAAAATACAAAAATTAGCTGGGTGTGGTGACGGGCACCTATAATCCCAGCTACTTGGGAGGCTGCGGCAGGAGAATCGCTTGAACCTGGGGGGCGGAGATTGCAGTGAGCCAAGATCGTGCCACGGCACACCAGCCTGTGCAAAAGAGTAAAGCGCCATCTGAAAAAAATAAAAAAATAAAATAAATAAGTAAATAAGCGAATAAATACATAAATAAAGGTGGCTCAGAAAATGAGCATTAGGACAAGGATGCCTTCTCAACTGGGATAATATCGCCCCCAAGGGGACAAAAAAAGCTTACTCTTTTTAATATGGAAAAGATATGCGTGAATAGACATACAGTATATCTGTGTTATTAAACTTTCATGATAGGCAGCGATTAGAAAAAAAAGTCTGAAAAGGGCTCCTCAGGGGAACAATAATGAAAGAAAAGTTGGGAAACGCTGCTCTCCAAACCAAGGTTTCTCTCGCTTCGCTTCTTTAGCCACTAGTGGGCAGTGAAATTGGCTTAATGGGTCATGATCAGTATTTCCTGGAAAAATGATGTAGAAAATTCCACAGGGCACTGCATATAATGAGTTAGAATGTGTTGTGCAAAGGTTTCCCATTCAACATGTGGGTACGTGAACTGCAGTCACAAAATAAAAGAGATCTCGGCTGGGTGCAGTGGCTCACCTCTGTAATCCCAACACTTTGGGAGGCTGAGGCGAGCGGCTCACTTGAGGTCAGGAGTTCAGACCAGCCTGGCCAATATGGTGTCTCTACTAAGAATACAGAAATTAGCCGGGCATGGTGGCATGTGCCTGTAATTCCAGCTCTGCTCGGGAGGCTGAGGTAGGATAATCCCTTACCCGGGAGGCCAGAGGTTGCAGTGAGCCGAGATCGTGGCCACTGCACCTCCAGCCTGGGCCAACAGATCGAGATGCCTGTCTCAAAAATAAACAAATAAATACATAAATACATAAAGAAACAAAATAAAAAGATATCTCTTGTGGGTCACTATTTAAAAAAATTTAAAGCCATTGCTCAAAACCACAATTTTCTCCTCTCATATTTTCTCTCTCAGACAAGCCTGTGGCAGCCTTGGACTGTTTTGGCCCTAACAAGAAGAAATCTACAAGGAGAGGAAGAATGTAGGAGAGAGTCCACGATTCCAGTGAGACTCGGGCCTGACTCTAACCAGCTCATGGCCTGGAAACTTTCCTCCTTCTACATTTTCTTGTCCAGGGTAAGCACAGGTGCAGAGAAAATGACCATCCCTGGTCACACGCAGTGGCTCACGCCTGTAATCCAGCAACTTTGGGAGACTGAAGCGACGAGAGCATCGCTTGAGCCAGGAGTTGAAGACCAGCCTAGGCAACATAGCAAGACCCCATCTCTACAAAAAAAAAAAAAAAAACCTCCCCAAATTAGCCAGGTGTGGTGGCGCACGCCTGTTGTCCCAGCCTAACCTC